CTTTATCAATTCCAAAAACACGACTTAGAATAATCGAAAGCTGTGTATGGGTCTTGGCTCATCCGTAGTTGTTCCTTTGATAAAATATACGCTTTGACAAGATTCCGTCTCTATTTTGTAGATTTATTTACTACTTGGTGAAGATATTTGCAAACGTTAGTTAATTTAATTGTAATAGTATTATAGGTAGCTTTCTTCTTTTGTTAATTGAATTATCATTGATGACTTTTACTGTACAATTTTTTAATTAGATCGTATTTCGATTTTCTCTAATATAATTTTAAAATTAAGCTCAATTTTTTGAATAATATTAAAAGCATTAGATTAAGCACAATAATCGTTTTTCAACTAGGGAAATAAAAATATTGTGGTATTTTCAGTTCGTTTAATAAGGGAGAAATTTATTTATCATGATATAAAAACGACGTTTTTAAATTGAGAGTTGAAAGTGCGTCCCGGTAATTTCCAAATACCTATGAAATTATTTTCATTGATGCCCCACAACAATTTCTATACATTTTGATCTTTTCAGATGGTTTAATAAAGGAGAAATTGATTTATTAAGTAATAAAAACGACGTTTTTAAATTGGGGATTGAAAGTGCATCCCGATAATTTCCAATTATAAAATTCTTTTCATTGATGCGCCATAACAACTTGTGTACAAATTTAAAGAAAAGATAAAACAGTAGTAAACGATTATTAATTGTAAAGTTGGTCTGGCGGATCTCGAATGTCTTTTAATTTTTTTTAAATACATAAAAAACAATAATCCAATTTCAGTAGAAAGCATCTAAGAGGAGGAGCCGTCGTGTTCTAAACATACACTTAGCGCCATCTTTCGACGACTCTGTAAAAGCTTATTGTTTAAAATATGGTTCTGTAAAGCCATCATACGGCATGAAAATGCAACACATAAAATATATCTTCAAGAAAAACTCATTTTCTGGAAAATTACACTTAAGCCCTCTCTAATTCTACTCTTAAATTTATACGAAGCTATATAAACATTAATAAATGTAAGGAAATCTGTAATTGTACTTTTTGCTTTTTGCCAATTTACTTAAAAGAATCGTATAGCTTTTTACTGTCTGAAATTAATTAATAAAACCACTAATTATTTCGAAGTTTTCCTGATCTACACCTTATTATTTAAATTATAATGTCTTCATGTATTAATTTCTCAAGGGATCCCTGTAGAAATTTCGCCCACAAAGTTTTTAACCGACTATTTCTAAAATAAGTTAATCTATTTTGTACTTAATAATTTACCTATTTATCTATTTGATAACACTTACGATACCGCGAAACACTAATTATGAATTGCGATTAAGTGTATGAACTGGTTTTTGTACTTTCTCTTGCCTTTTTAACTAATAAATTGTGTTTTTGTTAAATAAAACTCTAAATGTCTGTAATATCATTTATCAATACATGCCACAACATAAATTAACAAAATTACAATATTTTAAAGCACATATGCATATTAAAAGTATATTAAATGCAACGTTAAATCCCAGAAAACAGTTCCACTAGTTAAGGTTTACAATGGTTCAGATATCTTGGGTACAAACAGACTTCTCTTATATGGTATCTGTTGAGTAGCCAACAGACAAATCTTTCCAACCCAAGTCCATAACCACCATGAGGACATGTTCCGTATTTTCGCTGATCTGTGTACCAATAGTATGGGGCAGGGTCAATCCCTTCCTTTTTATACCTGTATATTAAGAGTAATAAAGGCCTTCAGAGAAAGAACATTGAAAATGAAACTTACGCTTCCATAAGTTCTTCTAAGTTCCACATCCTCATTGAACCACCAACAATTTCACCAACGTTTGGTAGAAGAACATCTACACTTTCGGTCAACTTTGGGTTCTCAGGACATTTTTGCATATAAAAGGACTTTATTTCTGCAGGAAACCGACAAAGCATGATGGGTCGATTTATTTGGTCGGTCATTTTACGTTCAGGCATTTCTGGTATGTCCTGAAAATAAATTGCAATATCAGAAATATCCATTATAAAAGTTAGTGGATCTCTTTGCCTTTAAAATAGATATTTCCACTTTAATTAGCCCTTATGAATTTCTTTTTTCACTTAAAGATTAACAAAATAACTAAATAATTAATACCCCGTAATTATAAAAAAAACTGCCTACAAATTTGTTACACTACATCTACTTATATTCAAACCCATGAAAACGAAAATAATATATTTGAGATGTATAATATTGACTTATAAACTTCTTAACAACAAAATTCATTCATGACCAGAAAATTTTATAAATACCTCGCCGAATTCATNATTTTAGTAGATATTACAAAATTAATTGTAATAATTAAGGAACATGAAATATTTTTTTAAGATACATGTCAAATTCAGATTATTACAAGTTCCCTAATTTCTACGACAAATTCAGTGGTTTACAATTGAAAATTGTAATTTTTGCATTGTCATAAAAATTTAGTGCATATTTTGAATGTCACAGTAAAACTTTTTGTAGATAAGATATATAATCCAAAATAATCTAAGATATAAAGAACTAGTTAGAGATATACTAGAAGCATAAACAGGAGTAAAAAGAGGCAGAAGAACTTGGATTAGATTACCTAACTTAACATATCTGTGCACCACCAGTAGTAATTGAGCGCATGTATACCATTTATTCCCTAACAATGTCCCATTCCATTTACCAAATTTTTCAGGTGGTGCGAATCTCCGATCGCCAACGGGTGGTTTGGCATAAGGTATTCCTTCAAATGCTAGATATAATTTGTCTTCAATGGTCCTTTTCTGTACTCCTCGCACAATACCTGCTTTAGTCTCAACTGACAATAGTACTTCTTCACTGTGGAATGATTCTTCAATATAGCAATTTCCAAGAACTGAAAAATTAACGTGCTAGAACGTCAGATTTAAAAAATGACATTATACAAAGGCGATACAGGATCACCGAGATGCGCTTTTACTAAATCTACATGGTCTCAGCATAAAGGTATACCTCCAACTCCGTCATTTCGAAGTCCAATCTTCTGCACCGTTATGATATTCTCTGAATTATCAGAACTTAATAAAACATTTACCTAAGTATCAGAATATCTCATCTGTCAAGGAAATTTTAATAAAAAATTGATTTATTGACTATAGAGAATACCCTAAAGTGTTTTCTCGCCATCATGTTTGGTCAAAGAATTATTTTCTACATTCGTTACATTTGAAATAGATAATAAAATGCTGATAAATACATTCTAGCTTGCCGATTAGTCTCATATTAATAAAATATTTATTCCTAGCAGATTTTCACCCTGAAAGACACTTCTATTAGATAGATACTCACGAAAGTATATAGCGATTATCAGCAGACGAAAAGTCCTTTCAATTGTACCCATATTTAATTAAAAAGTAAATGTGTAGGTGGACCCTTGTGCCCTAAACATGCCGAAATCAGTCACAATAGCAGCATTGAAAGCAACAATTGAAATTAAAAATAGAAGGTATAACTATATTAAACAAAATAAAAAGAATTAAAATTTCATTCAAATAAATAAAGATGCAATATATTTAATTGTATACTTACCAATATTTTTATTAAATAAACGTATAAACACTAATAAAAGAAAACAACTTACCTGCTTTAATACCACGATAAAATGTATTTCTTTTAATTATTTTTCTTTAATTTCTCCGTTTTAGAAAACACACACATATGCATGGGAACAAACGAATGTACAAAATTTACATTTTTGTAATAATTTAACAGAATTACCCTATAATTTAATCTAATATTATTTGTAGTACGTGAAAAATGTTTCCTTCACATTTGTATTTTGCATTATCAACAAAAAGAGTGATATAAATATTGTTTCAAAAAGCGCAAATCTCACGTGTGATATTTTCGTAAAATCACATTAACGAATTAAGAGAAACTGTAACTAGTAAATAGTCTAAATTGTTTTCTAAGATTATTCTAAATTTTATTCATTGAAAGATAATTTGTATATATTAATTGTAATACATCAAATAGAACCTATAAAACAATCGAAGAAAAAATACAGGTACTTAATTAATTTAATTTAATAATGTAATGTAAATAACTTTTTCCCTTTTCAAAGACTTATGTTATTGCTTTGGGTCAACATAGAAAGCTCTCTACCTAATTGTCAATTAAATTTTCTCAATCTCTATTGCGACTGTTTTTTTCCCTTAATTTTATTAAATCATTACACCCGGTAGATAATATATGTTTAAATTAAAATCGTATTCATCCCCATACCGGTAAATCCTACATGAAATCCTTTCCAGATTAAAAATTTATCGCATCGGCGTTAAATTATAAATTAGTTAATAACCTAATGCAAATAAAATGTTCGTCTAATTAAACCTCCTACGGGTTTGTATTTTATTCAGTCCCAAGACAGTTCAGTGAATTCCCCATATCCACCAGAGCGCTCCTCCAGAATATAAAAATATTTCTCCCTGACTGACACAAATCTAAAATTTCATAATGAAGAAATGTAGTTGCTTCTATGACAGTATAAAACCGACGATGTATTTATCTTGCATTACCGGCGTGATGCCGACATTTCCACTAAAATTAAAGCAAAATTACCGAACCGTACACACTGGTGGAATTTTAAACGCGATAATTTTGATATACCTAATAGTCTACTTGTTCTCTATTATCGATCTGGCATATTCCGAAGGGGCAATCATTGCTGAAGGAACGTATTATGGAAAAAACGTCCTATCAAAAATTGGATTACAATTATTTGTACTACTCAGCAATTCTTTTCTTGTGATCGTTTATATTGGAGGACTTTTGCTGCCTAATAAGTTAAAGAATTTATACAACATATTCTTTAAATTGGATTACGAGTTTCGATCTATCGGAATAAAATTTCCGTACAGGAAATACTTTTACGTACAGATACTGATGTACGTTACAATGTATTCAACTGCTGTGTTGGTTTTGATAATAAGAAATCAAGTTAATGCGGCGGAAAGAACGAAGTCGTTTAAGATTTTGCACTGGTTTGCTATGTATACTCCACATGTATTGCAGTTGACATTAGTATCGCAGTTTAACAGTTTATTGTTCTTTATATACTGCATGTTTCGAAGCATCAATGAAAGGCTTGACAGTATGAGAAGAAATATTGAAAATTGTACAACTTTCCAAGTTAAAGAAAGTTAGTATGGAAGCCCGAGGAACTATAAAGACCATCTTGCATGGCGCGTGGATTGCCATTTGGCTTCTTTTCACGGCGACGGCTGGCACGTGGAATGTCGATCCACGTTCCACGCGTTGTGTACATTCCATGTTGCACGGCGCGTGGATTGTCAATCCACGCGCTGGTTCGGTGCAATCTGGAACAGACAAACGCGTCCTAGCGGTTTATTTGGCTTCTTTTCACGGCGACGGCTGGCGCGTGGAATGTCGATCCACGTTCCACGCGCTGTGTAACATTCTCTTTCAAAAAAATTGTACGTAAATAATTTCAATTTTTGACAAAATTGCCAATTGTATTAATATTGATTTTTGAAAAAAAAAAAAACTTTTGACGATAACTGTAGAACCCGAGACATCAATGAGCCTTAATTGATTGACAAATTGAAGCGAAATCGTACATTTAACATCAAAAAGTCTCCTTAGATTCTAATTACAAAATAACTCGATGCCTATACTTTTACTTATATTCGCCATAAGTCATCAGTACAATAACAATTTTTTATATTTCAGTTACATCTGAAATAACTAAACTAATGAAATTACACTATCAACTTTGTGATCTGGTTGATCTTTTCACTTCAATTTATGGAATTTCAATTTTAATAGCTTACGTGGTACAATTTATTTCAGCAATAATCTTTCTAATTGATTTATCGTTTACGTAAGTTATACGAATCTTTACATTATATTATACCAACTGTACAGGTAAGGTAAAACGTTTTGTCGAAATGCTCAAAAATGCAAAATTTAGTGAATATGTGGAACACACTTTTTCAACCACGTTTATCTGAAAATATCCCCTAAAAACTATCCTAAACTAGTAATATCAAAAGATGATGCCGCACTTGATAATTGAATCATTACATGTAATAGAATATCTCTACATTAAATTCTCGACCATAATAAAACACCTTTGTTTTTCTGCCGTGCGTTGC